ACAGAAGATATTGGTTTCTACTACCACTTTTGGAAGCATTTCTTGTCCAAACACATATTCCTCCTCAAAAATCGACATTTGGATGAGGTCCAGTCCTCGGTATCCTTTCTGACCCTCAAAGAAACTTGAGAGTCACTTTCGACATCTGCCTCGGCCACTATCATCGTGAGTATCCTTGCTTTGATTCAGATTCATTTTCTAGTCGTTATTTTTATTTCGGTTGTAATTCAAATCATCATTCTGTTATCTATCTCGGTGGGAAATCAGCTTCTGACACAACTTACACTCTCAATCGATAGAATCAATTACATTATCAACTTCAACCATGGTATCAAGATCTGTCAGACTGATTCTGTTCCGTAGTCACTCTATCAAGGGAAGCATCTCGCTTAGTTATTACTCATTGTTCTGTACTATCCCAAAGCTTTTCATGGAGCAGTACTCATTTTTATAACAGTTGCGTTCTATTTTTTGTCCTCAGTTGGTATCTTAGCTTTAGAGTGTACTCCCAGTTTGATCATGTTCTTAATTAGAGTGGTAGCTCCGAACTGAACTACAATACTCATTGCAGACATGCTTTGGGACCACTGCTTTCGGTAGGCTTTGGTAACTGCATTCGATAGTTCATCAAATTTCTGGAAAAATCGTTTCAGACAATTACGATTTTTTTTGGCACGAATTCTATCTGATCTTTTTTGGATTATTTACTCTTTATTTTTTAGTTAAATCTGGCTTTGCGCCTGATAAAGAGACAATATTTTATTTTCAATTTTTTTGTAGACATTTTTATTATTTTCAAGGTTAAGCCCAATAAAGATTTTTATGGTCTTCTTTAATTTCATGAAGAGGAAACGAAAATTCAAATGGAAAAAAGCAGTTGTGGTATTTTTCTTTTCACAAATAACCGAAAAAGTATGCTAAGAAAACAAGTGCAAAAGCTTGTCAACGCAGCTCCTTTGGAGCTGAAATGTGGAACTTACGTATGAGCTTCCGAGTTGTTATCATAATGCATTATTTCTAAACTAAAAAATAGTCTTCGTTTCGAATAATTATGAGTGCACTAGAAAATTGTAGAATATCTGAATTCTGCGCAATTGCTGAGGTCTGTAATAATGGCCTGTTTGTAATGGGAGTGGGGAGAGGGTGGGAGAAGAGGGGTTACACCAGTAATCTTCTGTTCCTGTTGCTATGTGTCTGTCATGGGGTGGAGGAGGAGGGGAACTGGAACATCTTGGTCTTAAAATTTATACTGACTATTTTCTTTGAAAATGTACGTAAGTTCCACAATCAAACAAATTCTCCAGGGAATGTATCGATTAATGTGTTCTATGAATGATATTTTTGAAAATAGGTGTATGAAACAAAGCTTCAACATCAATATGAAAACTTTTAAAACGGAGTAAGATACAACAAGAGCGTTCTGTTTCCTGCAGTGTAAAGAATGATACTACTGCATTTTAGACGAAAATGCGTAATATTTTGTTTGTTTGTGATAAAAGAATAATTAACAAAACCTCAGTTTTGCTTCGTTTGCAAGCAACGTCAGGTTCAACTTGGAATGCATGAACCAATAGTCACACACACGATAACTTAGTAATTGAGTTTTAAAAGACAAAATCAGTACTTCCTAACTTAAAGAGAGACGATAAACAAACTCCAGACCTTGTCTGTCATGGTCTGTGGGGAGGAAAGGGAGGTGAGTCCATATGTCTACCTCTAAAGGGTTCAACATTCTTTTCCGATCGTATTTGACAAAACTGCTTCTTCCATGAAGAGGCTCCAAGCTTTTAAGAGAGAGTCCGTGAGATGATCGAGTATCGTGGTAGATATTGAAGTACTCGATAAAATTTGAATTTTTGTTTTTATGTTCTTATTTTGTTCAGCATCATCTAAAACCGCTAAATGCAAACTTTTAGAGCATTTCGTTGAGCCATTGGAAAGTTAGCTCGAATGCACCTATCACAGGGTAAGAGTCTTAGTTGAGGAAAACTAAAAAATCCTGCATAGAAAGTTAAGATTCTTTTAGATGACAATAATTTTATGAAATTTTTCGTGTAATATACCAAAAGATACGGCTTCGACGCTGAACAAAATCATCTTTTAATATGTTAGATTTCCATGGACTAATCGAGAGTTATCTATGAAATACTATCTATAACTTGTTATTTTCTAGTGGAAAAATGAGACTATCTTTTAGCAATATATTACAGTGTATCAGCTTCCGTTTAGTCATTTTAAGAGATCCAGCGCTGAATATTTTATAAGCTATACGACTTTTTTCTCTCGACAAAATTGTTATAAAAAAAAATAAAAAAGATTTCGAATGATGTCCAAAAATGGCTTACAACGTTGATCAATTGGACAGTGTCTATGAGAAAAAATTATTTTGAATATTTTTTTCTGAAAAACGAACAAAAGTTTAAGAAGACTATGATGCATCTAAAGTATTTTTCACACAAGTACGATATATTTCAATAAGCAAATCGTCTATATAAACTGTTGGATTATCATTTATCGTAATTTACGAAGGTAAAATGGGTTAGCATCATGTTATGCAAAAGAGCTGAAAACACTTTATAAGTCGATTAACGTTCAATTTTACTTCAGTGGAAGTTAAAGTATTGTTTAAATAGTTGTACACTTACTTTATACAAGACGCAGGATTGATGGTCACGTTTAAGGGGAATCTTATCCGTGCTTCTCCTCTTCGGCACGTAGAGCCCATGATGCCTGAAGAGGAGGGACATTATTCGGAAAACACATGTCCCTTTATTGTCTTTGAAGGGTACTTGGAAAAGCCGCACTCATGCAAACAATATAATTCTTTATCAATGGTCATTATTCAGAAAATCCGTGCCCATTGGTATGTTCACGCGAGCATAACTCGGTAAAACCGTACCCATCCGTTTATTTAGAATGACTTAGCCCTAATCCGGTAAACCTGGTTCTGTTTTATATTTTATTTGGTTTTCTTTAATGTCAGAGGAGTGGTTGTAGCTGGGAATACATTTAAAGAGATGATTCAAGTGCCATTTTAGCATTCATACTAAAGCTTGCTAGCATTTTGATCTCTTACAGAGCAATTTCAATATCTTGAAAATCTTGGTTTAATGTTTCAAGTTCAAAGTCAATTTCCTCGTTCTCAATATCATTACCAGTATTTTTGACGGGTTTATTTTCGATGAGGACTTTACTATCTGACAAATTTTGAGTGGTAATCATCTGTTGTTCGCGTTTTAGTTGACAGAAAAATGAGCAAACCTCATTTTCATTTTAAACTTGGATAGCCGAAAAGTAAAGCTTGCCATTTTCTTTCAAGGTCTCCCTATCTAATACAAACTGTTTCGGTTTCCAACGTTTCATACCGGAAACGCCTTCATCTAATTTTTTTTTGAAGTACCTACACTGTTCATCTAAAATATGTATGCTCGATTTACGTATGAACAAAACCCAGCCTTGAGGAAGAGAATTCATTTCGGGTGTGAATGTGTGGCGATGGGTGCGTGTGGCTGTGAGACGAGGACATCTACATGAACACCCAAGCCTACACCCGTACCCCATGCCCACACCCACATCCACACCTATCGGTGTCCCTTTTTGTTCTAAATTGACAAAAGCTTCTTGCTGCTTAAATTGTCTGAAAACAAATCATTTTAAAGTATTTAAAATACTTTTAATGGAACTTGACGAGGCATCCACAGCTGACGGCTATTATGATCGAATCAAGGCTATTTGTGGACAAATCAGGGTCGTAAGTTTTCGCAAAAGAGGTTTCGATTTATATGGTCTCAGCAATTTAGATGGACTGGCTTTTAACACCGATACGATTTGCACGCGTTACTCATTTCAACCTAGTTATTCATAAGGTAGACCAAGAAGCCAAATCATATCTTCAGCGGACATCTTTAGGCGTTCAAAATATGGTTACAATTGACGTCATTGCAGATGGCAATTGTCTCTATAACTCTATCGTATGTTTGACTGATAATACAGTTTTGATATCTTGCGAACCGAGAGGTAGGTACTTCCAACTTTACTATTCAGTTCTGTTAATACAATCTTTCTAATTCAAAATGTAATAGAACTCGTAAAAAATGAAACTCTCTACAGCAATCGCCTTGCACATATTGTTGGACCACTCAATGAGGTGATAAAAATATCACCCATCATTTTTCATTCTCGGAACTTTATGAAATCGCAGCCTTGAGCAATGTTCTTCAATGCAATATACGATTGATATACCCTAGAATTGATTATCGACCTGATCTAGACATCATGAATAGTACGTTTGAGCATGCTCAATCCAGTATTTCATCTAAAACAATTTATATATCCTGGTTACATACTCAAAGTGAAAGAGACAAAAGTAAAAGTAATGTTGATAATTGGACACCTAATAATTTCGTACCACTTTTACTTCCATCGAGTGAGTCTCAGAATCAAAGTAACCTGACTGAACCGAAATCCACTGTGTCACGCTTGGTGAGTTTAATGTTTTAGTACAGAACTTTTTACACAAATAAAACACACTTTCACTTACAGACGCCAACTAATTCAACAACGAAGAATAACGTACTAACTCGAATTCGCATTCCTGAATTTAATATGGAGAATAATAAAATTCAACAATTTCAAACATCATCGACCTATTACATGGTAAGCCAGGAAACCGCAACAACTTCTCGAACTAAACGAATACTACAAGCAAGTGAGACTCACACGAGCGCGAAGAACACGAATATTGACAAAAAACGATTACAAGCTTGTCAAAGGATGGCTTTTAAACTAGCTCAAGCTACACCAGAGGAAGCTGAAAGATAGCGGATATTTGCAAGCGAAAGACGTGCTATCAGAAGAGCTGCCTTTACATAAGAACAAGCTAAACTAGAGCGGTCCCTTGCAGGAGAAAGAATTGCAGCTAGAAGAGCTGCTTTAACATCAGAATAACTTGAACATGAACGTACTATGACTCGAGACAGAAGTGCAGCCAGAAGAACTGCTTTAACAGTGCAAGAAATCGAAGTCCAGCGAGAGCTAACTCGTGAGAAATTTGTGGCATGGAGAGCTACTTTTACATCGAAAGAGATCCAGCTACAACGAACACTTGCTGCCGAACGAAGTATGAATAAACGAGCTACTGCATCACCAAAAGAAGCTGAAGAACAGTGTGTGGTAGCTTGCAAAAGAAGTACCGCAAGACAAGCTACTTATACATCTGATGAACTCGAATGACAGCGTGCATCTGCTCGTCAGAGAAAGTGGCTTCGATAAAGCGACAAGCACCAACAAGAAAGTAACGACTTTGAATGGCCAAAACCTATTGATATTGAACGTAAGAAAAACTGTTTAAAGAACTTTATTCAACATATGTCGATGAGTTCTCTGCAAGTAGGTGTTTGCGGTATTTGTAATGTTCGTTGCTACAAACGTGATTTCTACCATATACCGTTCAGTAAAATACCGTCTATTGAATTACTGAAAGTACCCAACGATTTTTATGACATAGTTCCGGGAATGCAGGAAACGTACCAATTCCAGTCACATGATAAGCTTAACATGAGTGGTGATCTTGCCAAGGCGTTGATTCAGAAAGAAAGAGCAGCAGGTTAGTCTCGCTAGTACGTAAACTAATACAGTAAATAATTTTTTTAATTATAGATACGCATGCTCAATCAACGATGAATAAACAGGAGTTTACTTATGTAAACGGTATCGTTTTTTATGAAGCAGGATTGCATAAAACTGTTGAGAGAAAAAAACGATATTCGATACACTGCCACATTTGTTCGGAGTGTTGGTCGTCTCTAATAAAAGGGAAAGTACCGAAATTTTCGCCTGCCAACAAAATATGGGCTGGAGATGTCCCAGAAGAACTACAAGGACTAACAATTCATGAGGAAAAACTGATCGCTCTTTAGCGGCACAATGGCTGCATTGTCAAGTTACATTCGTCTTTTCATTCGACAAGTACAGCTCAGTCAGCTTTAAGAAGGAATTGCATAAGTTTTCCCCAAGATGTTATTAACATAGCTACTACCTTATCACTAGATTTAGATGATCTATGTGATTCTCTAAAGATAATCTTTGTTGGATGTCGTCCTCATCAACGAAACCAATTAAAAAATGTTTTGACCATTCGAAAAAAAGAAAGTTTTCGAAGCACTTCAAAGGCTTAGACAGAATAATGCTCTATATCGTAATGTTACAATTAATCAATTAATAAACAGCAAATTACCTGAAGATGATGTACCGGAGTGTTTATGGGCAACCATGGAAGTTTCTACTAATGTAGAAGCAGCTGAAAATGAAAGAGCAAGTTACCTTCCTGATCCGTTGACCAATGCATCTGAATTTAACAATACAACAGCTATACCTATAATCTCAAGGTAAGACAAAGAGACATGTTGATATTTTGGTACTAATATTGTTTATGTTATAGTGCTGTGTTAGATGTCAATAGTACCAAAGTGTCGTCTGATGAAGTTGCTGAACATCTTTTAGAACGAATCAAAGCACAAGTGCCAGAAAAAACACACGGAAAAGACACCGAGCAAAACTCTAAACAAGACACTGTATACATAATTCCTCGTGGCAACAAACCGGCCAATGAATATTCTAATCCAAATCTTTTATTAGAAATCTTTCCTACCCTATTCCCATATGAATGTGGTCGGCTTGAGGATGGTTCTCGACCGATTCAAATCAATTCTCGTGAGCATCTCAGATATCTTCTTTCGTATGCAGATCGCCGCTTTGAAGAACACTATTCATTTATATTCGTTGTCTTCAATATTTTACAACGCCGAACAGCATGTTTCCACGCCCAATTAATGACAACAAGATCGTGGTTTCAACAATCTGCACAAGTTCTTAACTCATTGAGTTCTGAAGATGTAGCAGCAGCCCTTATTAATATCTCAAAAGCGCCTTATTCAAAAGTTACTGATGAGAGAACAAATACGTTGATGAAGCACATCAAAATTATTGGTGGTCACGTCATGGGTTCAGCTCATTCCCGATCAGCTCTTCGTATGAAAATTCATTCTTTATGTTTTTATCTTGGTCTTCCTAGCCTTTTCCTCACAATCAATCCGGCCGACATCCATAGTCCAGTGGCACTTTACTTTGGAGGTATCGATCTCGATCTTGATAACGTTCTGCCAGAAGTCCTGCGCACAAGTTATGAGCGTGCTCAAATTGTCGCGACGCACCCTGTTGCAACTGCAAAGTTCTTCAACTGTTTAATAAAAAGCATTTTGAAAAGCCTACTATTGGGCGGTGTACTTGGTCCTGCAAAAGCGTATTTCGGCACTGTACAGAGTCAAGGAAGAGGATAGCTCCATTTACATCTCTTGATTTGACTCAATCATGAATATACTCCAGCACAATTGAAAGAAAATATTCAAAATCAAGATTTTCGTGAAAATTTACTAAAATATTTAGAAGATATTATAAAAGAAGATTTAGATTCGTTTCGAGGTAATATATTTAACATTGTTCGAATCTGTCATTTGAAGTTGTTACATTTGCCTACTTGATGCTGTTTTACACTAGGGGTCTGCATTTCCATGGAAACCGTTCCCGGTAGCGCCACTACATATAGAAGGAAGTATAGATTGTGGCGCTACCGGGAACGGTTTCC